CGAATAAAGACCTGTGTGTGTGTGTGTGTGTGTGTGTGTGTGTGTGTGTGTGTGTGTGTGTGTGTTTGAAAGCAGGTTCATTACGGGAGTAAATCTCACATAAAAATGGCATAACTTTAGAATTATAGTTCATTTATGGCAACAAATGTAAATAAGAAGGAGAAAGGTGACTATGCATGACGCCTGTACATGCTTATGTGTTGTTTAGCACCTGCCACAAACACACTCCCGCTGTCCTGTTTTAGCCTGTGTGGCCATTGTCCTGACAGAAAGGAGTATAAAGTGCTTCAGGTGCCAAAAACAGGTGTTTAAAGAGAGAGAGAGAGAGACTAAGAGAGAGAAGGTTCTGCTTTAGCCAAATTCTGACTCATTACACAGGACTGAGGGTCTGCAGGTAAGCCACATACATACTCTTACTTCTCTATTATCTATTGATCTATTAGTTTATTCAAATTTGGTGTTCATTAGTAGTATAGACTGTATTATATGTTAAAATTGTTTTACATGAATATAGGGGTCATAGAGGATGTTGGGTATTAAATAGCCTATCACAGGGGAGATGGTTTATAACAGCACAGCAATATTATATAGAATTCATCGATCAAACAAAATAGCATTTTACACAAATAGACAACAAAAAATAAGAGCATGAATAAGCAACACAGAGGCTCTCAGACTCATAGATTACACAAAATTGTCTACAACACTAGTCTAGTCTAGTGAACATCTATTCGTTTAAAACTGGACAGTTTAATCATATCAGAGATGAATTATATGTTTGCATCTTCAAGTCCTCTATAAATCTCTGCTTGTTTATGCACCTTGTCTATTTGGGCATTATATTTATTTTTCCCATCTAACTAAAAGCCTCTTGATGTCACTGAAGCATCTCAGATCCAGATATTGTGCTCTCTGCAGGCTGATCATATTTCTGGGGCAGTGAAGAAGATGTATGGCCTGTATTTGGAAGCAGTGAATGACTACATTAATGAATCATATGGAGAGGACGTATGGAGGCTAATCGAGGCCAGAGCAGAGATCCCGCACCTCAAATTTGTTCGACACCAGATGTACAAGTAAGTCCTAGAGTCGCATATCTGATAAATGAAGTGTCATAGATTGCATCTGGCTCACTTAACAATGCTGGTGTTTGTTATTCCAGTGATAATCTGATCCTAAGATTGGCAAAGGCAGCTGGAGAGGTTTTGGGAAAGACTCACGATGAGCTGATGTACGCTTTCGGGGTCTACATGGTCAAGCGGATAGGAAACTATGGCTATGAGAGGATCTTAAAGGTGATTTTCAAACATGGTAGACTCTGTATTTGACAGGTACTCATTTAGGTATACTACCGTTTTGTTCAAAAAATTTGAGGTCAGGGTTTTTTATTTTTAATTACTTTTATTCAGCTAGGAAGCAAGGATGCTTTAAATTGATCAAAAGTCACAGTAAAGACTTTTACACTAATGCAAAAAAATATATTTCATAGAAATGCTGTTCAACTTTTGATTCAAAGAATCCTTAAATAAAAAGTATCGGTTCACACAAAAACATTAAGCAGCTCAACTGTTTTAAACATTAATAATAAGAAATATTGAGCAGCAAATCAGCTTATTAGAATGATTTCTGAAGGATCACTGAAGACTGTAGTAATGGCTTCTGAAAATTCAGCTTTGTCATCACAGGAATAAATTATATTTTAAACTATATTAAAATAGACAACAGTTATTTTAAATTGTAAAATATTTCATAATATACTGTTTTTACTGTAGTTTGATCAAATAAATAAATAAATAAATAAATGGACCCTTGGTGAACATAAGAGACTTGTTTTGAAAGCATTTTTTTTTTATCTTACTGACCCCTAACGTTTGAACGGTAGTGCATAACATTTTTCTTTTAGTTTTCTTTATTGGGCTTTCTCAGTGGTTAACTGTACAATTGTATACACATTTTACATAGCTTTTAAATATCTTCTAATATCTCTGTCTCAGGTACTGGGGCGCAATGTACGAGATTTCATCAATGAGCTTGATAACCTGCATGAGTACTTCCGTTTCTCCTTCCCAAAAGTCCAGCCACCCAGTTTCTGTGTAGAGGAAGAATGTGAGACGAGTCTTACCCTGCACTACCGTTCAACCAGGAAGGGATTCACACAGTTTGTCAAAGGTAATGGGCATGTTGTGGAGAGTGTATTCAGACCAGCAGCAGGTTTGATAGTGTGAAATTGCTTATACAACAGTTCAATAAACAATACGTCAACAATATACGTTTTACATGGTCAGTTACTTTGTTGCTCCACCAATGCAAATGTTTAAAAAAAAAAAAAAAGCCAAAGCAAAATTAATCACTGAGCATCTCAGAGCAACATGTAGTGATGTTTGGCTCCTGAATGAATTGACTGGATGAATGATTCGATGATTCACATTGCATTCACATACAGTAGCAAGCATGTCACTTGCTTCATTCCTGAAAGAATCAATGTTTTGAACAAATCGGTTGAATGAATGATTCAGTGATTCAATGATTCAGTTAAATTGGTTTAAATCAAAGATTCAATGAGTCATTTATAAAGATAGTTGCCACCTGTTGCCACCTAATGGCATAACAAAGTAACCTACAGAAAGAGTCACTGAAAAATTGCCACCACTAATGTAAATTCAAGGGCAGAAATTAACTGTTTTATAATAATTATTACGGGTCAAGTACTAAGATTTCTGCCTGATTTCACCCAATCACAACTAATATAATTTACTTTCCAAAAACTGTACAATAGTTTTCTACTGAGCTTCCCTATATGTACAATACTTAATAAATCTGCTTTATACAGAACAATTATTATTTGTACAGTTACCATATTAACAGGATTAGCTTAATGGTGACCTCTGTACGTGTGCTTTCTGAAACTGTGTATTAAAATTCTTGAGAGATGTGTGAGGTAAAATAATGATCTGAAAGTAAAGCTTATATAACAGAGATGTGGTAAAAAGATGTATGACTAGATCCTACACAATGAAAACTGGTCAGTCCACAGTGTCTGTAGCCTCAGCCTGTTTAAAATTCAAATAGCGTCTGTTGTGACTACTCTGTAGGGCAGCTCTCTCAGGTGGGCCGACAGTTTTACAACACAGACATTGAAGTGGAGATTCTGTCTAAAGAGGAAACAGAGAAAATGACATATGTGGTAGGAGTCCAAACAGACATTTACCTTTCTCTGTGTACACAAACCCAGCTCTCTTATTCTTTATTTCTCACATTCCTGATCTTCTCACTCTCTCTCTCTGAAGGTGTACAAGATGAATTTTGACAATGCTGCGTTTAAGCACCGTATGCCCCAGCAGAAAACAGCTCCAGGATTAAGATTGGCAAAGGCAGCTGGAGAGGTTTTGGGGAAAACTCACGATGAGCTGATGTATGCTTTCGGGGTCTACATGGTCAAGCGGATAGGAAACTATGGCTATGAGAGGATCTTAAAGGTGATTTTCAAACATGGTAGACTCTGTATTTGACAGGTACTCATTTAGGTATACTACCGTTTTGTTCAAAAAATTTGAGGTCAGGGTTTTTTATTTTTAATTACTTTTATTCAGCTAGGAAGCAAGGATGCTTTAAATTGATCAAAAGTCACAGTAAAGACTTTTACACTAATGCAAAAAAATATATTTCATAGAAATGCTGTTCAACTTTTGATTCAAAGAATCCTTAAATAAAAAGTATCGGTTCACACAAAAACATTAAGCAGCTCAACTGTTTTAAACATTAATAATAAGAAATATTGAGCAGCAAATCAGCTTATTAGAATGATTTCTGAAGGATCACTGAAGACTGTAGTAATGGCTTCTGAAAATTCAGCTTTGTCATCACAGGAATAAATTATATTTTAAACTATATTAAAATAGACAACAGTTATTTTAAATTGTAAAATATTTCATAATATACTGTTTTTACTGTAGTTTGATCAAATAAATAAATAAATAAATAAATGGACCCTTGGTGAACATAAGAGACTTGTTTTGAAAGCATTTTTTTTTTATCTTACTGACCCCTAACGTTTGAACGGTAGTGCATAACATTTTTCTTTTAGTTTTCTTTATTGGGCTTTCTCAGTGGTTAACTGTACAATTGTATACACATTTTACATAGCTTTTAAATATCTTCTAATATCTCTGTCTCAGGTACTGGGGCGCAATGTACGAGATTTCATCAATGAGCTTGATAACCTGCATGAGTACTTCCGTTTCTCCTTCCCAAAAGTCCAGCCACCCAGTTTCTGTGTAGAGGAAGAATGTGAGACGAGTCTTACCCTGCACTACCGTTCAACCAGGAAGGGATTCACACAGTTTGTCAAAGGTAATGGGCATGTTGTGGAGAGTGTATTCAGACCAGCAGCAGGTTTGATAGTGTGAAATTGCTTATACAACAGTTCAATAAACAATACGTCAACAATATACGTTTTACATGGTCAGTTACTTTGTTGCTCCACCAATGCAAATGTTTAAAAAAAAAAAAAAAGCCAAAGCAAAATTAATCACTGAGCATCTCAGAGCAACATGTAGTGATGTTTGGCTCCTGAATGAATTGACTGGATGAATGATTCGATGATTCACATTGCATTCACATACAGTAGCAAGCATGTCACTTGCTTCATTCCTGAAAGAATCAATGTTTTGAACAAATCGGTTGAATGAATGATTCAGTGATTCAATGATTCAGTTAAATTGGTTTAAATCAAAGATTCAATGAGTCATTTATAAAGATAGTTGCCACCTGTTGCCACCTAATGGCATAACAAAGTAACCTACAGAAAGAGTCACTGAAAAATTGCCACCACTAATGTAAATTCAAGGGCAGAAATTAACTGTTTTATAATAATTATTACGGGTCAAGTACTAAGATTTCTGCCTGATTTCACCCAATCACAACTAATATAATTTACTTTCCAAAAACTGTACAATAGTTTTCTACTGAGCTTCCCTATATGTACAATACTTAATAAATCTGCTTTATACAGAACAATTATTATTTGTACAGTTACCATATTAACAGGATTAGCTTAATGGTGACCTCTGTACGTGTGCTTTCTGAAACTGTGTATTAAAATTCTTGAGAGATGTGTGAGGTAAAATAATGATCTGAAAGTAAAGCTTATATAACAGAGATGTGGTAAAAAGATGTATGACTAGATCCTACACAATGAAAACTGGTCAGTCCACAGTGTCTGTAGCCTCAGCCTGTTTAAAATTCAAATAGCGTCTGTTGTGACTACTCTGTAGGGCAGCTCTCTCAGGTGGGCCGACAGTTTTACAACACAGACATTGAAGTGGAGATTCTGTCTAAAGAGGAAACAGAGAAAATGACATATGTGGTAGGAGTCCAAACAGACATTTACCTTTCTCTGTGTACACAAACCCAGCTCTCTTATTCTTTATTTCTCACATTCCTGATCTTCTCACTCTCTCTCTCTGAAGGTGTACAAGATGAATTTTGACAATGCTGCGTTTAAGCACCGTATGCCCCAGCAGAAAACAGCTCCAGGATATGAGAAACTGCCCATGAAGCGAGGAATCTTTTTTGACATGTTCCCCTTCAGCGTGATATTCCGCAGAGACATGACCATGTATCGGATCGGAGATGGTTTGAAAGAGGTGTTTTCTGATCTGCAGGGCAAAAAGGTCAATGAGGAGTTTACCCTGGTGCGACCCATGCTGGAATTTAGCTGGGATAATGTGAGTAAACGGGAGGGTAGGGGAACAGATCCAAAGCCAAAGCAGCATGAAAGTAACCTAAGCATCTAAAAAAATGTTTACCCAGATAGCACACATACGTCTGCAAGATGTCTGTTAAAGATCACTTGATCTGGAAAGCATCTGCTGTGTACAAACATCTAGCAGACGTCTGTAAGATGTCAATTTTACATACATTCTAAATCATAAACATCTTAAAGACATCTAGTAGACATCTATTTGACATCTGATAGAAAACGTCTTATAGACGTATTGCAGATGAGCAAACACTGTAAAAAATACGTCTTCCAGTTGTAAATGCAGACATCAAATAGACGTCTCTGAGATGTATGTGTGCTATCAGGGTATGTTTTCTTTTCTTGCTCTTGCCATTTATGTCCTGAAAAAGCATTTTGCTGGTGTGTTCTCTTTCAGATCTACACCCACCTCAACAATGTGTTTGAACTGCTGTCTAAAGCTGTGGTAGAGAGCAAACAGAAGATCAACATCCCTAAACTCAGCAAAGAAGAACCAGAGGAGAAAGAGGAGAGTGAAAAACCCAAAAAGGAAGAGAGAGGTACAGTGCTTAGATTAGTAATTGTGAGGCCAAAACAGAATCGGCAGAATGTTTTCACAATTTTAAAGCTGTTTTTTGGGGGAAATCCGTGGAATTTTGATCAAATGTTCCACACTTATCTCTTATTGGCAGCTGAAAACAAAATATCCATAATATGTTTAAAAAAAAGTCAGTGATGCTACATTTTGAAATTAAATTGTTTTTTTTTTTAAAAACAAAAAAGTACTTGTATTCAGCCATTAAATTAATAAAAATTGGCAATAAAGACATTTATAATCTTACAAAAGATTTCTTTTTCAAATAAATGCTGTTTTTTGACATTTCTATTCATCAAAGAATCCTAAAAAATGTATGTTTCCACAAAAATATTGAGCAGCACAACAGTTTTCACGTTCAGTTCACGTTCAGTTCAGTTCACGTTCAGTAATCAGTTCTCATTATTACGAGAAACTAAGTCATTATTACGAGAAAGTTTCTCATTATTACGAGAAAGTTTCTCAATATAACGAGATACTAAGTCATAATTTTGAGAAAGTTTCTCATTATTATGACTTACAGAATTATATTTTTTCTCAACTGTGGCGGAAACGGGCTTCCATAGTTTTCAACTTTGACACTGAAGAAAATTCAGCTTTGCCATCACAGGAATAAATTGCATTTTTAAATATATTAAAATAGAAAACGATTATTTTAAATTGTAATAATATTTCACAATATTACAGTATTTTTGATCAAATAAAAGCAGCTTTGGTGAGCATAAGAGACTTCTTTCAGACACATTAAAAAAAATATACTGACCCCAAACTTTAGATAGTGATTGTTTGTTTGTTTGCAAATTAAGATTACAATGGTATCACCACATGACATTTTTAGAGCCATTAAATGTAAACTTTTTTGTAAATGGAGATTTTTCAAAGCCATAAAACCAACAAAGAGTACATTTTTAGGACAAAGAGTACATTTCTAAGACATTCATGTGTGTTTTAAACTAGATTTTTAAAAAGATTCACCCTTTTCTTTATGTACACTCTTATACTGTATGACACTGACCGATGTGTAAATAAATCTTTGTGAAAGATGATGTGAAACCACACTGACCAATCAGAACCTTAGACATCTAAAATCAGATATGTGACAGTTCACACACCCAAACATCTTGCCTCTACACAGATTAAAGCAGATAATGTCCTAAAACATCTCATGCTGACTTCTGTCACTGTGCCTCTGCTGTTCTCTCAGACACTAAAGTGATGGAGGAAATGAAGGGGACGGATCAGGAATACAGCAGCTCTCTGACTCAGTACAACAGCTCGGCTAATTCTGGAGGAGAGGACATCGAGCTGCTGGCTTTTCAGACTGTCACCGGTTAGACACATTACAGTAAAGTGATGCTCTGAATAAGCTCCACTGGCATGAAAACAACAAGAAATTTGATCAAGTCAATGAAATTACAATCATTATTTTGTTTTGAAAACTAAAATTGACTCATAAAGTGCCTCGTGATGAATGTAAATCTTTTGTCTATGCAGTGAAAAATGAAACTTCCCCTCTCTTGAGTAGGCAAGTGCAGTGAAACCATATTTGAAGACATGCGGGAGCCCCCTAAAAAGCCTCTCCACCTCAAGGGCCAGATGAAGTATGTCCCTCAGTGGGACTCCCTCATCTTTCTAGGAACTCCCATGTAAGCTCTCATGATCTCAAATGTTTACAACATTGCATCCTGAGCTAATGGAAAACAGTAGTTTAGTTATTGCCACATAAAACTGACAATCAAGGCTTCTCTGCCAAGTCATTTCAAAGGGATCATATCCTGCACTCTCAAACCATTTTAGTTTAATCCTGAGGTCTGCTTATAATATTAACATTTCCTTAGCCCCGAAAATGTCTATAATTATTTCGTTTTAAAAGACCATTTCCCACTTTCTCTCTCTCTCTCTCTCTCTCTCTCTGATCTCTGATCTCTGAGGCTCTTCTGGTTTTGTTTTACACTGGACATAGTCCAATACTGCAGCAAAAATGTTCAGTGTTCAAGAGCAAATGAATATGTCCTTAAAATCAACAATAAATTTCAACTTAAAAATATGTACTTTCTCCTCCCTTTAAAGTTACTAAGCCCATTTAATTTCTCAACTATGCAAAATTACACGGTTAGCTGGCTTTTTATCATTTGTATTAGCATCGTTTTTTTTCTCCCTACTGTCCATGAGCCAATCAGAACAGACCTGTATGTCGCCATTTGAAAAACTACTAGTTTAACTCTTCAATCATGTTTTCCAAGGTATGGCTTCTTTAAAATGTGTAATTATGAGTCTACAATGGTCAGATCTGTCTGTAAATACAATTTAATCACAGGAAAAAAAAAGCTGTAAGATTATAGCTAAAGATGTTTAAGTCTGTATTAAAACGTATTCTCCTTTGTACAGTATTGAGACAGTGGAGGACATGATAAAAATGGGTGTTTACGTCAATGATTTAAACCTGCACGACTCCAGCAGAGAGCTCATCCTGGCAGGAACACAGCAATCAGCCGAGCTGCAGCTGGCACTTGACCAGGTATGATTGCCGCCGAGCACAAAATCTAGACTTACAAATACTGTAATCCACAACCAAAGAGACACATTTTATTTCAGTTTATATAAAAGGAGTTATGTAGCAGAATTTCTGGCATGGACTGACTCAATTCTATTAAGCCACTTAATAAGCACAGATTCTCTAGCTGTGGCTATGCATCTAGAAATAACATGCAAATGACAGGCCGAACTCTTACTGTGCCACCTACAGGAGCAGCAGAAGTATGCACAGCTGCAGGAGATCATTAAAAAGCTGGATGAGGAGAAGAAGAGAGGAGACTCCCTGCTGTACGCCATGATCCCCAAAGCAGTAGCGGACAGACTGCGCAAGGGAATCACAGCTCTGGAGACATGTCAGGTACACACTCTCACACAAACCCACCCATTAAACACACTTATAAACACACAATTTATATGAATTTCCCTTAGTATTGACTGACCATTGTGATTTAAACTATATCAAGATCTCAAAAGAGATAATAAAATACAATGAAAAGCAGTCTGTTTTTTCCTCTAGTGCTGTCCGGCTGTTTTTAAGTGGCGTTCTTGATCTGTTATCTCCCTCCAGGTGTTCCCAGACGTGACCATCCTGTTCAGTGATGTAGTGAAGTTTAATGAGATTTGTATCCACATCACCCCCATGCAGGTGGTGGACATGCTAAATGAGATCTACATCGTTTTTGACACACTCAGCGAGAAGCACAATGTCTATAAGGTAACAGAAGTAACGCAAACGAAAGCAACTTGACACAACATAATACCTTCTCATGCATGTTATTTGACCTTAAAGACCTTCAAGAGAGTCCTCTGCTTTTTCTTTACAAGGAAGGCACAATATATCAGCACCGTATCAGTTATATATTAAGATATTTTTTTTTAATGTATACATATCAGTCGATAGTGGATATATGACTGTTCAAAAGATTTTTTTTAAATGTTTTTGAAAGAAGCCTCTGCATTTATTTGATCAAAAATGAACCGTCAGAAATCATATGCTAATTTGGTTCTGAAGAAACATTCTTCTTCTTCTTCTTCTTCATTATTATTATTATTATCATCAACACAATAGTTGTGCTGCTTAATATTTTTGTGGAAACCAAGATAAATTTTTTCATGGTTTTTGATTACTGTAAGTTGAACAGCATTTGAACAGCATAAAAAGAACAGCATTTATTTTAAATAGAAATCTTTTGAAATTTTTTAAATGATTTTACTTTCACTTTTGATCAATTTAATGAATCCTTGCTGAAATAAAATTTATTTAATTAATTGAAATTAATTTAATTTAATTAATTTAATTTAATAACCTTACAGATTCCACTGAACTTTTGAACAGTAGTGTATGTAATATTTAGCCAATCTCAAAATTAATATACATTTATTATACATTATGTTTCATTAAATGTCTTTAAGGGTTTTATTATTAACCATGACATTAAAATAATTTTGGATGTATATTTTGAATGAAAAACCGCAGCATTTTGAATATAAAAAACTTGAAAATATCAGCTTAGTGGTATCTGCTAGAATCTTTATATCAATGCATCCCTATTTTTTACTACTAAATATTTCTAATTAAGATCTTTTAATCTTTACCGTCATTATTAAAGCTTTCAAAATTGACTGAAATGGCAACAAATGCTCTTGCCCCCTCAGGTGGAGACCATTAGGGATGCCTACATGGTTGTGGCAGGTGTGCCCAATAAGACCACATTCCATGCCCACCACATCTGTGACATGGCTCTAGACATGTTGAGCTCCATTGATCACCTAAAAGACCCCTCCACCGGGGACAACATCCAGATCCGTGTCGGTGGGTGCACCCAGACTCACACAGCATCACATAACAAAGCAACTGCAACCCTTTAATCTGATATTTTCTCTACATGCAAAACAATGTGTGAAAGTAATTTAGACTTTTTAAACTCTTAATGCTCCAGCTAAATGCTTTTGTGGTGGTCTTCACACAGGCATTCACTCTGGAATGGTGGTCGCAGGTGTGGTGGGTCTGAAGATGCCCAGGTATTGCCTGTTTGGAGACACAGTAAACACGGCTTCTCGGATGGAGTCTAATGGCGTGGTGAGCCACTTTCTTATGCTGTACTGAGAAAAATGAACAGCCTCTAATAACTAAACAAAACGGTCTCATTGTGCAATAAAAAATATTAATGAGTCATTTTAAATTCATTTTAAAGAAAATGCAGTTAATTAAAAAGCTAATTATTAAACTTATTATTTCTGTGCGGCTAGGGCATGCAAATCCACATCAGTCAGACTACCAAAGACCATCTGGAGCATGAACCATACATCATCGAGGAACGAGGAAAGATTTTTGTTAAGGTACTACAGTACATAATCAACCTCATCATCTTCTTCACTGCCAATATCAACAATGGTAAGCACATTAAAACTTACAAAACTATGTACACCATTCAAAAGTTTGTGGCTGGTAAGATTTTTGTTTTTTTTTTTTTTTTTTTATATTTTCATACTTTC